TCGAAAAACCGAACTTATGTTCGGAGAAATTTAAACTCAGTTTCGTAACTTTTTTTTAGGGGTATGCTAGGGAGGTTTAATGCCGACAAGACAATTGTTTCTCCGACATATAATTCTAACCAACACTAACTCTAAATCAACCAACCCTAAAGCTAAATCGAGCCAATTTTATGTCGAGGAAATGTTCTAAGAAAAGGATTGTCGAAAATATATAATATCAAATATATGTCTTATCGAAAAAAATGTGCTGTAGATGAAATAGCTTGTCGGTATTACGGTGTCGGGGAAAAGAGTTGGCGGGTAATAGCTTTCAGGGAATTGAGCGACAACCATTACCAGCTAGGCATTTTTACTTAGCCAGCTGACCACGATTGCGATGTATTCAGGCCCGGAACTTCGGGAGTTATTGGACATACATTTCTTATACAAGGGGATCCCTGAAATTCCGGGTCAAAAAGCTTCGGATCTAGGCCGCACAAAATTATTAATTCCCCTGTATGAGTTGACGGGCTTTACCGTTACTTATTTGTACAACCCCAAAAGGAATTTTATTTTTGTAAATAAAGTGCGTAAAAACACAAATTTAAGGTTAAGGCGTTACATTAGAAGCCATAACCATAGACTGTTACCAATTGCATGTAAAATTTTTGTATTACCGGCACAAATAAAACCTGAGTTGGCGTATATTTGTACGTATGAACGTCTTCTTGGTCCAATTGACAACACTGTACGACAATACTGCAATAAATGAATCCCTATGTTTATCCTTTAAACTCCAAGATCCCCTTTTGATAACAGTTTGTCATTCGTAAATTCGAATTAAAAAGGCCTCTATACTTTTTAATGACTAATTGTGTAAATATTCACGAATTTACAAAAAAAAAAAAAAAACTTTATACTTACAGTTCGAAAGACTAGCTAAATTAGTGTGAATAAATACAATAAGCGGATAAAGCGGCGTGTGTAATGATAAATATTCGCTACGTGACATAAATAGATAATTATGCTAAATTTTAGTAAAGTTAGGGTGAAATCCGCATTTACATAATGTAGGTTATATATGTAAAAGCGGATGTCAAGTACTGTGATCGGGGTTATCCGTCTTAACGCTAAGCCATCATTTTTTTTTAAATAACACTAGTCCTGTAGTCATATGTACGTCGATCGCGATTGATTAAATTATGCATAACAATGCATCGGTGTCATACCAGCCAATGAATGTATTTTTATTACGCCTACTATATCATTACTGGTAATAATTTATACAAGTGACCCCACAAGACATGTCACAAAAATTTGTGATTTGCTAATGGCTTATCATAGAGATATAAAACCAATCTTGTATCACACAAGTAGAAGTAATATCAACATCTTAATCGAGACGATTCGAAAATAAAGACGCCAAAATTTTCGGAATTTTCATCGGACTAACGGAATGGGAAATAGAATTAAAAATTATCGTTTAAAAGGAACTGATCGGATGTAATTATGGGCGCAAAAAATGCCGTTTTTACTTATATTGGTATTTTTCAAAAGAATATCATGATCCTGTGAAAGGCACTATTTACGGTTGGGCTACTTCTACTCAAACAGAAATAAAGTCCAATTTTCGAGTTAGAGTCTGACTAAGTTTTATAATGAAGTTTGGGCATCACTTGAAAACTTCTCTGTACCCAGAGTGGACGGTACATTATCTTGCTTATGAGGAACTCAAGCGTGAATTAAAGACTCGGACTCGTAATGGTCAATGGAGCGACAAAGACGAAACCTCTTTTGTCGAGTTACTTGAAAACGAGCTCGATAAAGTTTATGTTTTTCAGGCGTCTATGTCTGAAGACATAAATCAGAGAACTCAACGTTGCGAAAAAGAAATTAGTAATCTAGATAGTAATGCAACGGAGGATCTCTACCTTGCACTCGAGGAAGAGCTTTCATTAATCATTGCTGATGTACATGACCTTGCAAAATTTACTCGTTTGAATTATTCTGGTTTCTTGAAAATAATTAAGAAGCATGATGCAAGTATTCTTGATCATTTTTATTCACATGACAAATATATAATGACATTACAATTAATTTTTGAAATTTATCATTGATAATTATACTTATAGAAACAAACAAATAGGGAACTTAAATATATGTATATGTCACGTTTGAATGCCAAACCATTCTACAAGGAAAATTATGACGCGTTGATTGTTAAATTGTCGCGTCTTTATGATATTGTTCGTACCCGTGGTAACCCAGTTAAGGGCAATTCTTCTTCCGGTGGTCAACAGCAAAATTTTATACGCAACACTACCAAATATTGGGTTCATCAGGATAATATTACTGAACTCAAACTTCTCATATTGAAACATCTTCCCGTCCTAGTTTTCAATGCTAACAAACAATTTGAACAATCTGACTCTGCAATCTCTTCAATATATTTTGATAACGATGATTTTGAACTATATCTCGGAAGATTGGAAAAGACTGAAGGTGCTGAAGCCATTCGATTACGATGGTATGGTGGAATGGATGTAAATGAAATTTTTGTCGAACGTAAGACGCATCGAGAAGACTGGACCGGCGAAAAATCTGTCAAAGAACGTTTTCCAATAAAAGAAAAATATGTAAACAATTATCTTCGTGGCCATCATATCATGAATGAAGATTTTAAAAAAATGCGAGATAAAGGAAAAAGTGATAAAGAAATTAATGATTTGGAACAATTGGCAAGCGAAGTACAATTTCGTGTTCTCACAAAAAGGTTGAAACCTGGTTAGTATTACTGATAAACAATTGTTGTATTAGTATTGTTTACTGATATATTTGGTACAATTTTTCTGTTGATTAGTGGTACGTAGTTTCTATAATAGAACTGCGTTTCAATTGCCCGGTGATGCTCGAGTTCGTATATCTCTTGACACTGAACTGACAATGATTCGTGAAGATAACTATGAAAACACTATCCGTTGTGGTGACAATTGGAGAAGAATGGATATTGGTATAGATTATCCATTTTCGCAGTTACCTGACAAAGATGTTGAGAGATTTCCTTACGCGGTTTTGGAAGTCAAATTACAGACTCAGTTTGGACAAGAACCACCCCAATGGGTGCAAGAATTAGTAACTAGTCATCTGGTTTGTTCACTTCTTTATTTATCATAAAGTTACTTTTTGATTTTTTATTTGGGTAAATGTTTTAATATTATTTCTTCGTTATGTAATGTATAAAGGTTGAAGTAGTTCCTAAATTTTCCAAGTTCATTCATGGTGTTTCGACTCTTATGGAAGAGCATCGAATTCATCTTTTACCATTTTGGCTTCCACAAATGGGTGTGGACATTCACAAACCAGCTCGAGGTAACTACGGTCTTCAACGACCTATTGTTGATACGTCTGATGCGTCTGATGAGAATGTCGATCCAATGAGTTCCGGGAGCTCAGAACAAAGAGATATTGTTTCTGTTCAAGTAAATGAAATAGATGAGGATGAAATTAATGAGGAATCACATTTACTTTCGGAAGAAAACCAACAAGAATCTTCAAGATGGTTATGGTCAGAACCTACAAATGCACTAGAAGAACTAGAAGATGAGATCATCGTTGGACCTTCTTCTAGACAAGCATTACAGGTTCCACGTTATTTTAAGGGAAGGCGTGTTGCAGTACCTGTTCGTGTTGAACCCAAGGTATTTTTCGCCAACGAGAGGACTTTCCTATCTTGGTTGCATTTCGCCATTCTTATAAATGGATTTGC